GGCAGCCTCTGAAGCCCTGCTTCTCTTTTGGTCATAGGGTGTTTCAGGAGGATGCAGCATTTTTTTCCCAGGAGGGCCTCTTCCCAATGGAAAGAATGGATTGTCCGTGCTTCTTTCCCAGACATATGCTTGTTCCTGGAAACAGGGGGAGTCTTTCTATGGGTTTAGTGGAGTTTTCCCCAAGACTGGACCACACCAGAGCAAGGCAGAAAAATGGCCTTTGCAGTGCCACTTCTGCTCTGAAGACACTGCAACATACTTATTTTATTAAAGATGAAACTTCTTGCTCCAATGAACACAAGGCAGCACACAAAGTTTTCCCTCTTATTTATTTCCACAATGAGTTGGAATGGGCTGAAGGTCAGTGATGGATGAGAAAACTTCATCCAGTGAGATTCATGGATATGTGTAGATTTTTGTTTTCCTTTTAAAAAATCTCAATGCACCTAGCCCTCTTGGAGAGAACCACCCATTTAGACTCTTTCATTGGCATTCCCACCCCCCCAAAAAGGCTACCACGTCTGGAGTCGGTGTGAAGAGAGAGTTAAGGCTTGGCCTTGTTTGCCCAGCTTGCAACAGACTGCATCACCACCAGCAGCACCTTTCCTCTCCATTCCGGGAACCAGCCGGGATTCGGGAGCATTTACCTCCCCTTTCTGACCTTCACTGAGATTGGGAAAGAGTGAGCTCAAAGTGGACACAGAGCAGAGGATCACTTTACTGGCATGCTGATAGACATTATTAAGAGGCAGAGAACTTTGATCATTTTGCTCTTTGCTTTGTCCACAACAGCCTTCCCTCTAAGAATTTACAATAAATACACCAAAAGGAGCACGTAGCTCTGAACTTAAGAGGAAAAGCTGTTGCTCACTGAAAGTTGTTTTCAAAGAAACAAGCAGTAATTTATCAGCTTTGAAGATTGATAGCATTTCCTTGTATGCAAATTAATTGACAGCCAGCCAGATTATTTTACTGATCTTTACTGATTACCAGAGTATATACTCCCATATGTGGTATTTTATCAATGCAATTAAGTTTCAGGTTGCTATAGGACTTCAAAACTAAGAAGACTTCGAACTCTGAACTTATCAAATGATAAGAAAGAAAAATCTACAGAAATTCTAGAGAAATCTCTATTGATGACCTGAAAAGAACTGGGAAGCTGCTGCTCAGATTTCTAGTGTTTAAAATCCATTCCCATAGCTCTTGTGGCTAAAAAGCTCACATGACAAGATCACATGTTCTGTCATTTTACCCTGGCAATATACTGCATTTTAATTAAGTTTATCCTAACATTCAGACCCTAAATGTCCAGCTCAGTTGTTAGGATTTCCAATAATCAAAACTGTACTGTAAATATACTTTCATTTCAGGTTTAAGATGACATAGTAGGTCAGAATTTTGGCTGAAGAGTTCATGGATATTGGTTATCTGGGTTTTTAAAGGTTTTTTTTAGCAATTAATCATGGGCTGAAAGAATTGGGTTTTTTTCCACTCTCTGGCATTTTGTAGTATATCTCATTCTGAGCTTTATCTTTTCCTGCTAACACTATGAAGATACACCCATTCAGAGAATGTGTTGTAGACTTTAAGCGGTGTTATATTGTCTTGTGCTAGATTAAAAACTGAACAAGGATTTCATGAAAACAACTATCTTCACCAGCCATAAATATGTTTTGCACAGCAATTCCCACAATTCCAAGGAAATACAGCCCAAGAATAAAAGCTGCATTCAAGATTTCTGAAAAACATACATGTTGCAATTTTTTTAAATGTATTAATTTATAGCATCTGATCTATATCTTGCCCTTCCTCTTAATACATACTCTATAAAAAAGGAAAAAGCATTTATTCTGATGTTATGATTTAGAAATTGGGCAATAACTGAAATCATATTGGAAGTTTGAAGTAGATATACAGAATTATGAACAGAGTATGTGATTCTAAAAACTCAGGCGTTGTGATCGAAATCTATTTCAGGCTTTAAAACTAGAAAACATATGGAGGAACATATTACTGCGGTGTTGAAAGGAGCAGACTTAAAGCTTGATTACTGAAGCATTATTTAGAGAAGGCTTACATAGTACAACATCACCATCATCACCTAAGGCAGAAACATGAAGTTTTAATTTCCAAAATAGCCTGTTATTGATCACACTCAGTAAATCAATCAGGCAGGAGTTTGGGCCAGATCTCTCCCCTGTGTTAAAGACAGATCAAGTGACAAATCTGTCCCAGAACACACAAAACCAAAGGTAATACTGTATGTTAATAATCAGAGTTGTCAAACCTGGAGCGAGGGAGGGGGCAGGGCAAGGGTGCCATTGCCATGGGGCAAGGCAAGGTGAGGTAGGGCAGAGCAGAGGATCACTTTACTGGCATGCTGATAGACATTATGAAGAGACAGAGAACTTTGATCATTTTGCTCTTTGCTTTGGAGACATGACAGTGGGCAATAGCCTTCCCTCTAAGAATTTACAATAAACACTCAAAAGGAACATGTGGCTCTGAACTTCAGAAGGAAAACTGATTCTATTTTCAAAGTGTGATCAGCTTTCAAGATTAATGGCATTTCCTTTTACTTTAATATCCCCTTGTTGCTATTGTGGTGTTGATATGCAAACAATTAAATATATTGTGCAAGATTGCCTATGACATGCATCCTCTGGTTCCCTAGAAGATCTACATGAAGCAAATCCAGAGGAAATCACCTGGATAGTTGAACTGGACATCCAGTTATGAGGCCACTGCCATACCACATAGAAGTTTTATATATAATTATGTTATATATATGTTATCTCTTCTGTCATATTCTCATCATAGGCTAAATAAATAAATACATGCTTTGATATTTAACAGTTTTATGCAAATTAATTGACAGTCAGCCAGTTTCTTTTATTGACCTTTACTGATTGCCAGAGTAGTTATTTGCATACGTGGTGTTGTATCAATGCAATAAAGTTTCAGGTTGCTATGGGACTCCAAAGCCAAGAAGACTTTAAACTATGAACTTGTCAAATGATAGGGAAGAAATATCTGCAGAAATTCTAGAAAAATATCTATTGATGACCTGAAAAGAACTGGGAAGCTGCTGCTCAGGTTTCTAATGTTCAATCTGAGCAATAAAATCCATTCTCATAGTTCTCATAGCTAAAAAGCTCATGTAACAAAAGTCCATGTTCTGTCATTTTACCCTGGCAATGCACTGCGCTTTATTTAAGTTTGTCCTGACAGTCAAACCTTAATGCCCAGCTCAACTTTTAAGATTTTCAACAACCAAAGCCTGTACTCTAAAAATATACTTTAGTTTTAGGTTTAAGATGACATACAGGTAATCCTCAACTTACAACCTTTTGTTTAGTGACTGTTCAAAGTTACAACAGCACTGAAAAATGTGACTTATGATCATTTTTCACATGGCCATTGCAGCATTTCCATGGTCACATGATCAAAATTTGGATGCTTGGTAACTGGCTGATATTTATGACAGTTGCAGTGTCCCAGGATCATGTCATCAACGTTTGTGATCTTCTGACAAGCAAAGTCAATGGGGAACCCAGAAGCACTTAACAACCATGTTACTAACTTAACAACTTCAATGATTCACTTAACAACTATGGTTAGAAAGATCATAAAATGGGGCAAAAATCACTTAACAACTGTCTCACTTCACAGCAGAAATTTATGGCTCAATTGTACCTTAATTAGGGAAGCCAAAAATAGTCAGTGTGTTGGACAACTGAGTAAAGTCATTGCACAAATTCTGGAATTCTTCATCCTGACATTCGTCTTCATTTGGCCACCTCTCGATCCAGGTGTTCTTTGTAATCAGGTAGGAAATTCTGGAAAGAGGAAAGAGGCTAGGTTAAAACTTAACCCTGCAAGGAAATTAGTTCAACTGTTGGAGCAATGTTCTAGGTTTGAACTGAATCCAAGTATAGTTTCTAATTATTTCTTCCTATAAGTATGACATTTTAATTTAGATTTTGATTTTAGGGTGAGAGAAGAAACTTTTTTTCCTTAAAATCCAAATCCTGAAAGAACTGAATTCTGTAAAATTCAAATGGCTCCTGCCATAAAATGTTATTAGTAAAACAATAGAAAAATACAACCTCATGAGTTGCAAGATTTGGCAGTATACAGATGTGATGAATGAATGAATTCAATGACAAATCAGTTTTGCCTCATAGATTGCTTCTTCCCAGTCTAAGATTTTATACATTTCAGTTGACACGCATAGTGGAAAATTGTATCCTGAATGCTACAGATGTATACTATCAACAAAAATTTTAAAGTATGTTTGTAGAACCCAAATGGAATGAAAAACCCCTCCAATGGCTCACAGCTACAACTTCTCAAAATCAACCAGGCAAGGAGAATAAGAGATGCATCAAACTTGTGGTAGCTAAGACAACCTTAAATTCAGGAAGACTTTAAGAAGTATTAGATAAAAATGAGAAAATCCTTATGTTGCTTTGGAAGGTTAAACCACTCAAGCAGTATTTTGATCTTCTTCAGATAAATGAGTATCAACCTTAATGTTCCCAAAACACCTAAAACCAGTGGCGTAGCGTGGGTTGTCAGCACCCGGGGCAAGGCACCCCCCCCTCCACAGTGGGCGGCGTCGGCGACCCGGCGGCTCGGATCGGATTCGCACAGCCAGCACTGCAGAGTGAGTGAGTGAGCCAGGCAGGGGCAGAGAGCTGCGAGTGCGAGCGCGCCCCCCCAGATGTTGCGCCCGGTGCGGCCGGCCCCCCCACACCCCCCACGCTACGCCTCTGCCTAAAACAACAGGTGCACGTTCCTAAACATACAGTAATAATCTACAAACTCTTTTTCATTTACATGTTTGAGTGTATAGAGGAACAACTAGATGCAACCCTTCCCCTATTGAACTGTCTGTACTATAAACACAATGGTGGAAATAATTCAGAACAAAGTGAACAGGATGGATGGGACTAGTAGCTCTGGGCTGCAAAAATTTGGGCAACCACTAGACAGTAGCAAAGAGATACAGACAACTTTCATTCTTTCCTAAGTGAAAGATCTCACATGTGCAGATCCTTGCAGGCCAGATCTGGAGGCTCTGGGAAACTTGAGGTTGTGGTAGAAAAGACCCCTCCAGGCAAGCACAGCTCTTTCTTATACAACAAAGGATACCGACTGTGTGGCTTGAAGCATCTGGGCAAAAGCTTCAGATATTCCCAGAGAGACTTTGCTGGGGAGATGCTGCTACCCATTCATGAAGCAATCTAAAAATCCCTGTTAAGTCTTCCACAGTCTTCCCCACAAGGTCATATGTAACCTACAGAAGTCTTCTGTGGCATCCAATAAATCTGAGGAAAAATGGCTATTTTGATATTAGCAGATTCAGATTTGGTTGCTTTTTCTATGGTACTGTAGATATATTGTTAGCTGTTCTGTGAATTTGATAGCAGAACAGCAAAGTCTACAACATTTTAGAAAATTAAAAAAAAGTGAAATACATATTCATTTTTCTGCTGAGACCCCAGATCAGATAATCATTGTTCACCTTCAGATTCAGAGCCTCCTGGCATTTCCTTTGACTGACATACTGGCGGGGCTTTGCTTGTGGATTTCGGTCAGTGCCTGCAGAAATTACATAAAATCTGAATAAACATTTCAATAGGGGTATGGTGTTACATTGGCAAGTAATGTTATGTAACCAGAAAAGAAGGAATAGCTGTATTTAGTGGATGCATTGGTTCTTTCTTCAACTGCTACTGAACCATATTTATCACCCTGGGGGAAACAAACCATCTTCTCAGCTCTATCTTTTTCCTCAGAAAAGCCAATTATATGCCACTCAGATACTGCAGCCTCTGACACTGAAAAGCCAGTTCCCTATCTCAATACTGGAGCACTTTTCAGGCGAGCCTCATCTGTCTGTGGATCATCCACAGAAGATTCCTATCAACAGACGTGAAAGGGAGGCCATTTTTGCAGGGTGAAGTGAGGCCATTGGCAACCCCACTACAAAAGATCCTTTCCACACTCGTTGGAGGATCTTCTGACTCACTGGAGCAGATTGATCAGGATACAAAAAACTGATAGAATGATAAAAATGGCTCCTCCCTCTTTTTCTGGTGTACCTCATCCCTAGTTCCTTATCCTCACGTATAAAATCCTGAATCCTTATTTAAAACAGAAACATTCTGTTTAAAAAAACCCTGTTGTGAGTTTGAATAACAGTGATAATGATGAGGAATAAGATGTTTTCTCTCTTTAAAACACAGAAAAAATAGTGAAGAGATCAATTTAAAGGCATGCTCCTCTTACAAGCAAAAGAACACACCAGATCTACATCTATTTGTGCATCCTTACTGTAACCAGAAGCATTAAATTGGAAACTTTGTTTTAAGAAACATTGATTTGTTAAGTTGCATGCTATCCCATATTCCTTTCGGTAATTTATAAAGGTAAGAATAAGGGAAGTTTGAAGGAATTACTGAAACACATTTGTGAGGATGATGAATCTTAAAGTGTTACAAAAAATTCTGGGAAATATTCAATCATGCACATTTTGCGAGAACTTCTATCTGACTGCCAATAGGGAGTACTTTGCTGTTCCATAGAAATGTGAGTTTCTGTGCAATAAAATATTTTCTACTGACACTTGAGACGCTGGGTTTTTAATGGCTGTCCTCTTTTACATTTTGAGAGAACTACAGCTCTCTTACGCAAGGAAAATTCTAGGAAACACTGACATTCTGACCATAGAGATTCAGTAGGTAGGTGAAATTCCCCTGATATCTCGGTAACTCCCACCCTGTTGGCCTTCTAGAAAGCTTCAAGAGCTGGCTTCAAGCCCTTGGGTTAGGGTGATTGGGCTCCTGTCAGATACATTTGGGGGTATGGATGATATCAGCTGGATTCAGCATCTGTTCTTGCTCTTTATTTTTTTTTCCTATTCCAATAGTAATTTTACTACACTGCATTTATTATTTTGTTTGATTTTATTGTACATTGTCAATAGTCAATTAAGAGTGGGGTGACACTGAAATTGAATAAATTAAACCAAACTAAATAGACTAATCTGAGCTTTCAAATGGGGTTCAAATGAACTTTCAGATTTAAAGAAAATGTTTCCACTATCTAATACAGGGGTGTCAAACTGCCGGCCCACAGGCCGGATGCGTCACACCAAAACCACGCCCACCCCATTGCTGGCAATGGGAAAAAAGTCACGATACATCACAACACGTCACGTGACGTCATGAGTTTGACACCCATGATCTAATATATGCTTTGTTTTAGGGAAAAAATCTTACCTCTTTTAATAATTTCTAAAATGTCCATCACATAGATATCATTACCATCTTTTTCTTCTGTGCGAAGCAGTTTGGTTTTGTAGACTTTTAAGAACAAAAACAGAAACAATATTAATTAAGACAGCTGATTATTTTTCACCATGAGTGGTATAATCAGTGAGGCACAGGTGCTGCTAGTTGTCTATGGGGATTCTCAATCATCCAGGTCATCGTTATCCAAAACATGCTGTTCCAAAAGGCAACTGGATTTTCTTTCTTACCAAGAAAGCCTAGGATCACACTGAAGATTGATAACATGCGACAATGTTTTATCTGCATTGTTTGCAATTCCCCTTCATTCTGATGGAGGAAATGCTTTTGATCATTTCCCCAGAGAAGAAATTATTCCATGTGTGTATTTAGTTTTCAATTAAATTCACATGAGAGAGAGAGCGTGCTTGGATTTGGGCACTTATAGCAATGACAAGGAAGCCGTAGGACATATACGCATCTTTTGTCTCTCTTTATAAAACATGAAGAATTGTTTTCCCTGGGGGGGGAAGGGTTCACGGGCTGACAGGAGGAAGCAGGCGTATGATGTGCAGTAGAAAAAGGCAACAGCACTCTTTGTCTCCATGCAACAATACTCTCAAGAATAACATTAAAATAATACAATAAAGACATTCTAAATCTCTCTCTGAGGTAGCAATCAAAAATCTGCTTCAGGTGGTTAGAAAACTAGGCCAAAATGTGGATGTTATAGATCTGTCCTTACGGGCATTAGGAGCAGTCTATACTGGGACACAGGCAACTAGTCAGAGACTAAGGGAAGGACTTTAGATGTATTTAAATGGTGTTAATAAGATGTCTCACCATGCATTTAATCAATTTGCATTTTCTGTTTCGTAAAAACTCAGCACCCAACATTTTAGGCATTGGCATGGGAACACAGGGCCTCAGGTTGTGCACTCTTCTTTTCTCTCACTCAGAATCCAAGCTTGAAGCCAGCCTATCTCTTAGGTCACCATGATCAAAGAAATCTCTTTTGACAGGCAGAGACAGCAGAAGTTTCTTCTGGATAGAAAACATGCTCCAGTATGTTTGATGCAGTGTTTACTTCCAGGATGCATTCGGTCATCCTTAGTAAACATATTATTTAGGCACATTCAGAAGCGTTTATTATTAGAACAGAAATGGGTACAAGAACAGCATTTTCTTCTTCTCATTTGAGGCTTATATACTATCTAATGACATACAGAGTAATAGAATACTGTATGGAATACAGAAATGTAATGCTGGCTTCTGGTTTGCGATCGTGGCTCTGGCGGACGTGAGAGACGATCGCTCTCTCCGCCGTCTGGTTTTCTCCTGCTGGGGGACCCTGAAGAGGGTCAGAAGTTGCCCTGTAGGGGCGACGAGCACAAAGAGCACAAAGAGTGATCGCGGAAGGGCGGCAGCCCTTCTGTTTGATCCAGGGCAGCTCTTCAAACTGACAGGAAAAAGATTGGCTATCAACATGGCCCTCATTAAGCTGCTGACAGCTGAAACCAAATTCACTAACAAGCACCTTGAAAGCAACGTGGAGGAATTGGTGAGATTTTACTTCTCTGTACCCCAAGTATTTTTCCTGTTAAAAGCTTCCTGAAAACTTTTCCCCCATCAAGGAGAGAGGGAAGGGAATTTTTTCCTCCCACCCTCTAAAATGGCGGCATCTGACTACCTGGGAAAACAAAGCATTGAAAAGTACAATTTAATATAATTGGACTTACCTCCTTTTGGAATTTGGGGACCCCAAAAATTCCTACTCTTACGGGGACCTGTTATTTTGTTTACTTGTAAAAAAGAAGAAAAAGAACTTAAATTGGATAAAAACCTAGCCCCGGATTTGAAAAAGACTTTAAATGCTATCGGGGACATCTTGTGGCGAAGCTTGGTACAGCAAGCTATTACTTTTGACAAAGAGACTTGCTCATAGCTCAGATCTGACCTTGGTATTATCTAAGAGAGATTAAAAGCTGAGAGAGCAGCTGGGCAGTGAAAGTGGTTTTTAGGAACTGTGGAGGTGAACACTTACTCACTTTTGTTTAATAAATAGCCTTCACTAAAAGACTATCTATAAACATGTCAGAAATGGAGGAGGAGCAGCAAAAAACTTCGGCTATGTTTAAAATTATACTTGAAAAAAATCTTGAAGCCACCGAGATAATCAAATCTAGACTGAAAGACAAAGGTGCCAGCTTAAATCTACAAAGTGAAACCCTGATTGCAACTAAAGAACCTATAATCCAAAAAACAACAGAAGCGGAGGAAATTAATGCCAAGACAGAGGGCCTTAAAGATCAACAAGTACAGTTCACTGAAAATCCTGACAATGAAACAACAACTTTAAAAATGGAAATGACTTTCTACGCAAACCAGAAGAAACCCGAGAAAGAAGAAGACCAGATGGAATGGAAGACAACTATACCAGAGCAAATATGGGGATCTGGGCTACCAGGGTAACAACTTAATGATTATAAATGGGCCAGTTCTTCCAGAAAATTGGCAACTAAATGGTCTCCTTTAATTCAAGTAACATACACAAGAATGAAGGGAGATCTATTCGATGATTTAAAAACATTTGTATGGAAGCCTGGTTGGCATAAGAAGAAAGCTAGAATTAGGTTGATAAATTGGGGTCTTTTGATTTATTGGAGAATATCCTAAATTGCCAACCAGTGGGCTAAAGGGAGACTTTGAGACAAGAAGAAATTTGATTATTAGACTTAAAATAGTTGGGAAATAGTATGAAACTAACTATTAGGAAATAGGTTTGAACTATTGCTTAACCCAGATAATATAGATGATGGACTTGAGCTAACAAAGGAGACTCGATCATTAAGGTGGATATACTAGGGTGAGAAATAGAAAATGTTTATGCAATAGAATAAAAATATATTTAAGTAAGTAATAATTTTACATCGCTTTCTGGGCAACCAGTCAACTCTTTGCACCATTATTTTAATTTTATTAAGTTTTACAAGCTTACTAAATGAAAGAACACAAAAAACCCAACCAACTTGATAGCGATCACATAACACACTGACAAATGTCCTCCTCTCAGCTTCAATACATGACATCAATAACTGAATACTACTGTGATCTGATTGGCTCATAGCCAAAACAAGATGACACCTGATTGGCTCTCTAAACACTCATGCTCATTGGCTACAATCAGATGAAGGAAAGCTACCTGATATCAACCTAAACAAGTTGTGCTTCCTTTTTCTGGTTATTTGGCTATAACATTTTATAGAATGCAGTACAGAAAACTGAACAAACTATGTTGCATTATATTCTTGATTAAATTATCTTTCCATTGATATATAATTTTATGGTACTACTCCAAAAAAGTGGTGTTATTAGCCATCAAACCTCAAAAATACACTTTTCCCAAAAGGTTTCCACAGTTTTGGCCACTACTGTAATTGATAATTTTTAATATTCCTAAAGTGTAATATAGAAACTGTCTTCATTTGACAGGGCAGGATAGGCTTTGACTGTATTTCTTTTAATAGGATGTCTATAGTTTGTCTTCTGTTGAGAGAGAGCGTGTTAGTGCTAATTAATACCTGGGTTGTGCTGCTGTGAACTCCAAACAACATTATGACTTTTTTCCTCATTAACGTCTTAACATATTTAACTGCAGGTAACTGATTTCTTATGAAAAGGGGAAATTGTTTTTGTCCTGTCTAATCAACTTTTTTGTATTTTTCTTTCATGTATTAACTACAAAAGAGAATGAAATGTAAGGATCCCTCTCTGAATGAGAGGAATCATTTTTAATCAGAACATTCTGAATAAATTGTAATAAAATGGTCCTCCTATCTTGGTCTGTTTCATTGGGAAAATATGCATGCTGAGGTATGAGCCTAGATCAGTGATGGCAAACCTTTTAGAGACTGAGTGCCCAAACTGCAACGCAAAACCCACTTATTTATCACCGGGTGCCAGGTGGGCGTGGCCCACTGAGTGGGCGAGGCAGTGGCGGTCATGGCAGACTGGGTGGGTGTGGCCAAGCTGGGTGTGGTCACATCAATGTTACTCATGGGGAGGCCGGGCAGGGTTACTCATGTGGGAGGCCAGGCAGGGTTACTCATGGGGAGGCTGGGCAATGTTACTCATGTGGGAGCCGGGCAGGGTTCAGGGAGATCCAGGGGGATCTCTGGCAGGTGGGGCGATGGGCAGGAGGCTCGTCCTGCGGGGTGAGGCGAGGCAAGGCAAGGCAGGGCTGGGGTGCCATTGTCGCAGGGCAAGGTGAGGCAGGGGCCGGGGCAGCAGCTGCCTGACACCATCGGGCCCCGCACACAGAGGCCAGCGAGCACATGGGGGCCAACAGTGTCTGTCAGCATCCACAGCCTGTCGGCCCCTCGACCGGCACACTCTGGGGCTCTGCAGCCCACCACCAGAAGTTCAGAGAAGCCACCTCTGAGCTGGACAGACGGCCGACAGCTGAGGAGGCGATGCAGTGAGTTGTGCCCGGGAAAAGGAAAGCATGTGAGGCCAGGAGGGATGGGACAGGGGAGGGAAACCAGCCGTGCTGGGATGCATCCAGCCACATGGGACCTCAGCGAATTAGCGGGCGGCTGATTGAAGAGGGACAGTTGTCATCTCCGGGGCATGGCGCACATGCCCACAGAGAGGGCTCCGAGTGCCGCCGCCTCTGGCACGCGTGCCATAGGTTCACCACCACTGGCCTAGATCCATATTTGGCCTTCAAAATCTATATTATTTTCCCTTTTACTTTAAGTTTGCAACTATTTCTATCTCACTTAACCTACACTGTTTCGGGAAACTGGTTTGTGGTTTTCTGCACCTGGGCTGCTGCACAAAGAGGGCTTGCTTAGGTTTTCAGTTTACTCTTCCACAGAGAGTCTTAAATCAGGTTCACCAATATTAAATTTATATCCTGCCTTTGTTTTGTACAGCTCAAGCCAGCAGCTTATAAAAGGTTCCTACCTCCTATTTTTTCCACAAAACTCACTCTGTGAGGTCAGTTGGGCTGAGAAAGGGACTGGCCCAAAGTCACCCAGCTGCTTTTCTGGCCTAAAGCAGTGCTAGAACTCATAGTCTCCTGATTTCCAGGCCGGCACATTAATCACCACACCAAACTGGCTTGTTGTTGTTGTTGTTAATTGCGAAGTCGTGTCCGACCCATCGCGACCCCATGGACAACGTTCTTCCAGGTCTTCCTGTCCTCTACCATCTTCTGGAGTCCATTTAAGTTCACGCCTACTGCTTCAGTGACTCCATCCAGCCACCTCATTCTCTGTCGTCCCCTTCTTCTATTGCCCTCAATCTTTCCCAGCATTAAGCCCTTCTCCAGTGAGTCCTTCTTTCTCATTAGGTGGCCAAAGTACTTGAGTTTCAACTTCAGGATCTGGCCTTGTAAAGAGCAGTCGCGGTTGATCTCTTCTAGGACAGACTGGTTTGAACGCCTTACAGTCCAAGGGACTTGCAGGAG